CGCCTTCCCGGGTTCCCGGGACGCCCGCAGCGCCCACTGGGCTTCCCGCCCCGGGGCGCCGGGTGAGGGGCGGCGGCGCCCTAATCGCTTTACCCGGCGCCTCCCCGCGCCCCGAGCCGCTACGCCGGCCCTTCTCCCCGGCTCCCGGCCCAGTGACGCGGGGGCGCAGGACAAGGGACCTGGAACACAAGGGACTGCATGGAGAGCAGAAGGAAGGACCTAGGGGGGAACCGGCGCGCGGGGTCGAAGGGGGGTCTGCACGCCCCCACCCCTGCCCGCAGTGTGGCTGCTTGGCCGGGAGTGGGGCGGCCCCGGTCTAACCCGCCACCGCTGGTCAGTTTAGACTCGGCCTCCGAGAACAGTCTCCCCCACGACACACACAACCAGGTGGGGATGGGGCCCTGGACGGGCAGGGGGCTGGGCGCAGCTGGGTTTCATGTCTGTAAAACCAGGACATGGAAGTGAAAGACTTCCTAAGTTTTAGAGCCTGCGGGGAAAGTTCCTGCAGCCCGCACCAGACACGCGGCCCCGCTGCTCGTTCACTGTGCACGCGTGCGGGCCTCCCTGCGCCTCTGCACCCACCACCGCCGCTGAACATGCGGCGGGGCCCCTCTTACCTGCCCGGAGACAACGCACAGCCCCGTGCGTTCCTATAGCGCTGAGCGGTGCGCGAGGCAAGCTGCCCAGGTCTCATTCCTGCCCCAGCCATTCACCGGTTCATTGCGCGTTGATGAGCTTTGGACGACTGGTTTACCTTCTCTGCTTAGTTTTCTGGTCTATAAAACAGGGCTAATACTAACTCATCTAGTTGGGTTATTGTGAGGATTAAGTGACTGATGCATGTACTGTGCTTGGCCCCTGCACCCTGTTAGCTGTTACGAGTGAGGCCCTGCTGTGGCTAACTGGCACCCTCCTTCACAGATGAACTTTCCAGACCCCTCCTGGTGTCAAAGGGGAAAAGAAGCTTAAAGCAGCACCTCTTGACTTACAGGTGCACACAACCCCCCTAGAGATCTTGATAAAATGCAGATTCGAATTCAGCAGGTGAGGGAGGCAGGGTCTGAGATCCTGCAAGTCTGACCAGCTCCCTCCTGATGGTGCCACCAGAACACTCTTTGAGCGAGGTCTTAGAGCAGTGGTTTGTAAACTTGCCCATGAGTCAGAATCACCTGGAGGGCTTGTTAAAACAGATCTCTGGGCTCCACTCCAGAGCCTCTCATTCAGTAGATCTGGGGTGAGTGAGGCCCCAGGACTTGCATTTCTAATAGTTGATGTCGCTGAGGACAGAGAACCTCTGTTTTAGAGCATCTTGCCCACTACTAATGTCAAGCTGGGGGGTGAGCGGGGTGGTAGAGATCATTAACCAGCCAAAGGCAGCTTCTTGTGCTGTGGGCATAAAATGGTGGGGGTGGGGAGGCTGGCACCTGAGGTCGGGAGCCAAAAAATGTCCCAGTTCTCAGGGGGTTAAGGCTCTAGAAGGAAAGAAAAGGGACAGTGTGGGTTCTTTCTCAGCATCCTTTAAAAAGAGAGACAGGGAAAGGCTGCCTGACTGCTGGAGGTCAAAAGAAAGGGAACAGGGGCCACTGAGGCTCATGTCTTCCTATTTGGGGCCCTCTCTCCCCAGACAACCAGGAGAACCGAGGAAAACTGGAGGGTGGCAGCAAGGCCCGAAAGGAGAGGACAGCATTCACCAAGGAGCAGCTGCGGGAGCTCGAGGCAGAGTTTGCTCACCATAACTACCTGACCCGGCTCCGGAGATACGAGATCGCTGTAAACCTGGATCTCTCCGAGAGGCAGGTAGGAGCCCCGCGGCTACTCTCCTCTTCTGGTCACCCCTCTTTCCATTCCCACCAGCCCTCCCTGAATCTTCTCCTTTTTCTTCTCCCTCTGCCCAGTCCAATGGATCTCAATGGCTGTACCTGAGAATCCCCTGGGGGGATTTTAATAACACTGATGGGACTGGGTTTATGAGACTGGGATGGAGTTCAGGCACCAGAGTTTTTTAAAGGTTCCCCAGCTGATTCTCACATGCAGCCAGCACTGGAACCTCTGATCTGGTTATCCTCAAACTTGAGTGTGATTGGAATCACCTAGGTGTTTAAAATGTAGATTTTGGAGCTCCAGAGAGCTACTTCGCAGTAATGAGTGGGGCTGGGATCTGCATTTCTAATAAGTTCTCCAGGTGATTCCGGTATGCAGCTGGTTCCTAGGCACACACTGAGAACTTCCTAGCCCTTTGTTTTGGGCTTTCCCTTAGAGCATTCCACCCACATCCATGCTCTGACGTAGAGTAAAATATAATAATACTAATAATGATAATAACAATAGTATTTGATAGCACTCTGCCAGAGTACTGGATTTAGAATCAGAAGACTTAGATTCAAATCCTGCCTCTACCACGTCCTAGCCCTGTGACCCTTGGGACATGTCTCCCACCCTTTCTGGGCCTCCATCTGTAAAACAGGTCATAACCCCACTCTTCAGATAATGCCGAAGCTCAGATGAGAAAATGTGCAGACCAGAGCTATCTAAGCTGGACAGTGCCTTATAAATGTGCCTAAAGATGAGGCTGGTAATCCTTTGTTCCCTGACCCTTGGGTAACAGAAGCTTGGGGGGGGCGCATGTGAAAGGGGGTGGGGCCAGTGAAGAGTGACCTGTAGAACCTGTTCCATGTCTGGCTAGGGTGTTGTTGTTTTTTAATCTGGAGACACAAGACAGGCCTCTGGGCAGATTGGTGGGTCCTCCCTTCAGTCTGGTTCCTGGAACCTCTGGAGGGGTGAGGAGGGACAGGCAGTGTTCAGAGCCGGGGTCCCTGGAGCTTCACCCTGGCAAGCTTGAGCATTAGTTAGGGAGGTGGTTGTAGTGATCCGGCTCCTTTGCTTCCTTTGTCAGGTCAAAGTGTGGTTCCAGAACCGAAGGATGAAGTGGAAGCGCGTGAAGGGGGGTCAGCCCATCTCACCTCATGGGCAGGACCCCGAGGATGGGGACTCTGCAGCCTCTCCAAGTTCAGAGTGAGATTCTCCATGGACTGGAGAATCCGAAAGACTGATGACTGAGCCCCGACCCAGCTACCCCGCCCTAGTCCCACTTTCAGCTCTCCCACCCACCCCAGGGCAGCCTCTACACATCTGGCAGTGACTCTTGGATATGAAGGTGCCCAATGTTCCTGGGAACCTTGACGTTTTCCAGGAAGTTCCCTCCAGCATTGCTCTGTCTTAGCAGCTCCTTCCCCAGGGCCTTTGCTTCCCGCATTTCTTGTGGAATCACACAGCGGCCAGGTGGGACCCAAGTGAATCCGGGGAACAACTCCAGGGACACTGCTTCTCAGGGTCTCTTGGCTGCTGCCTACACTTTCCCCTACCACCCTCCTCCTACACAGGCCAGGCCTCCTCCAGGTCTGAACACCAGGGGGCCAGCTGGGAGAGGAGCCTTGGGAACAGCTGGTGACTCATGGAAGCTAATGCTGCACAGGAAAGGAAATGACTGAGACACCCGCCCCCCTCCCCCCAGACCACCATTCCTTTCTGGGCTCTATATCTGAGGCTTTGGGGGTTCTGAGTTGTCCCAAAACCCCAGGGAAAATCAGTGTGAAGAGGGTTGAGGACAGAAACGCAGCTGCTGCAAATCAGAAACCATCCCTGTCTCCCAATTTGTTGGCTGTTAGGTGGGCAAGTGTATTAGCACTGGCTGGAAGAAGACAGTCAGAAAATCAGCCTGGCATAGGTCTCTGCGGTCCTGCACAGGCCCACTCACACTGGCTTAACTTGAGGGGGAGGGGTGGGATGAGAATGGACCCAGGACACCACTTGCTTTTTCAAAATTAATTCAGAAATACAGCTGGGACTGTTGAGCAGCGTCCAGAACAATGGAGCAGGTATTCCTTTTAAATCCACAATTTCTGGATTGAAAAACTGTCCAGATGCTCACATTAGTGAGTTGAGGGCTAGAAAGTGTCCCCTATGTTCTAGGGCTGCTGGGTGAGGGCCTAGAAATGTTGAGCCCTGGAGAGCAAGGTTCTCCAGCTACAGTGTCCTGTGCTTTCAAAAGACTCCAACTGCAAATGGGGCCCAAAAAATAGTCCCTCTTTCTCCACGGGATGCATTTAAGCCCCTCCGATGTGTTCCACAAATGCTGTTATTACGGGAGGAGCTGCTAAGTTTATATGTGTGGACTGCCCACATCCTCTGGGGTGACACTCCATGACTGCTGGTCAAACAGCCTGGGGCAACAAGCCTTGGAGAGAGACCCCTGCCTGCCCCAGTGCTCCGTCTCCCATATCAGCTGCTGTCGCAGAGGGAGGTCAGCAAGAGTTTGGACCTCTTGTATGTATACTTAATCATTCACGTGTAAAAAGAACCCCACCTCCCTATCCCAAAAGGACGACTGTTGTGGAAAATGATTGCCAATGAGATGGCTGGTTAGAGCATGCGTACTTTTTTTCTAAGTCATACTTCATATATTTTCTTAAGATTACATCAAGTTAACTGTGCAAGTTCAATTCACTTTGTAAGAAAACTCTTGGAAAAATAAAATCAATAAAAAAGCAAAGCTCCCAAGCCTTTTTCCTTGCAGAGCTAAGAATCACAGTTCTGTGTGCAATCTTCCCATGCTTGGGTGATGGTGGGCCAATGTGTAGAAGCAACAGAAAGGGGAAGAAGTCATCTAGAGCAAGTTAGCCCCTTTAGGTTCTTCAGAATGTGGGGGTGCAAATGTAATTATTGCCAAAACAAAACAACAAAACAAAAATCCTTTTCTCCCATGCATCTGCATTGTCTTTATTTCCCATTGTAAAATTGTAGCTTTCGGCTTCCCTATCCTATGGCTTATCAAATAGTCAAAGTTCTGTATACAAAAGATGGACTCTTTTGTTAATAAAGGAATCTTGACCATAAACTAACCATCCCTAATTTTTAAAATCAAAATTTGGAGGTTTTGTTTTTCGGGGTAAAACAATATACATCAATAGTAATAAAAATGACACAAGAAAAAAATGTCCCCAATTCTATGTCTTTTTAATTTAAAAAGATTTGTCTCACTGAGATGTCAACAGCAGACATAGTAGGACTGGCTAGAGAGGGGAGGGAGGCAGAGACCCAGGAGAGGAGACCTGGCCAGGATTTGGCTTTGAGGCGGCCCTCTGGGCCTGGTGTGGGCAGTGACCAGAAATGACATCATCAGGGGCTGGCAGAGGAAAGCAGGTCCACCGAAATCAAGGTGCCAGAGGGAAGGTTCAGATTCAAAGCTAAGCAAAACAGATCCCTTTGGGGACTCTAACACTCCCTTTTAACTTGAATCCAGTGGCTTCAGAGGACATTGACCTCTCTTGGTTTTCCTTGTCTGTCCAGAATGTTCCTTCTCTGTCTCCCATGCAGACCCTTTTCTCAATGCTGTTGCCCCCACTGCTGGTTCCCAAGGTCTTCTCCTTCTGGCCACTGCCTTTCCCCCCTTCAAGCTCTCCCCACATGACTCCATCTAACTACATTTTTCTATTGTGGTAAAATATACATACATAAAATAACCATTGTGCCATTAAGTCCTTCCACACTGTTGTGCAGACATTGACACTCTCCTCTCTAGAACGTTTTCATCCTCCCAAACTGAAACTCTGTACCCATTAAAAAAACAACTCCCCTTCCCTCCTCCGTTCCATCCACCTACACTTATATGGTGTTTACTCTGTGTGGATACTGTTCTAAGAGGTAATAGCAGTATTCCTGTCTTCAGATGAAATAAATAAGGCAGAGCAAAGGTGACTGAACCCCCAAGGTTTTAGAGCTGGTTAGTGGTGGTGGTAAAGCGCATGATGGGGCCCAATTATTTTCCTCCCTCTCCACTAGGGGAATGCAGCTGCCATATGCTGTACCTCCCCCCCCAGGAGAGGGATACTTCCCCCCCCACTGATTCCAGGCTTGTCCGTGTGACCGGCTTTGGCCAACAGAAAGTGAGCAGAAGTGCCCGGTGCTGGTCAGGGCAGAAGTTTTAGAGTCATCCCGTGTCTCTGCCATTGCTCTTTGCCCTCTGAACGTGGCTGAGACGGGTTCCACCGATAGCCTGGGTTCCAGGACCCACTACCTTCATATATGTGGGTGAAGATATAAAAGTCTGCTGTTGTAAACCACTGGGATTTGGGGGTCATTCGTCACTGCTGCACCACCTCATGAAAACTAACCGCTCCAGTGATGACACTGGGATTTGATTCCCGGCACTCTGGCATCTGGCCAGCACTTCCCTCTGCCTGATCTGGGAGCTTAAGGTTTCAGATTCTTCTGCCTGCTTCCCTTCGCTAGCTGGATGACTACAGGCACCGCAAACTTAAAATATCTGAAGGGGAAGTCTCCATTCCCCCGATGCGCCTGGTTCCTTGGCCCGCATTCTGAATCCTGTATTGAACTCGGCAACACAACAACCTCCCCGTTCACGCGGCCTGGAAACCTGGGACGCAACCTGGATGCTCACCTCTGGTTGCAGAATCAGTCGATCACCTGGTCCTGCTCGCTTCACTTTCTGTGCAGATATTTCTCATACCCACTGCATTCTCGGTCTTTGCACCACCATAGCCTTTGTTCAGACTAACATCTTTCACTTGAATTAGAGCCTCCAGTAGCTCTTCCTCCTTCTGATCTGGGGATCAAAGTCCATCCCCTAGAGCAATCACACACACACACACACACACACACACACACACACACACACACAAATCCATGTCACCCCTGATTTAAAACCTATCAGCCCACCCGGTGTGGTTCAGTGGTTGAGCATCAGCCCATGCACCAAGAGGTTATAGGTTCAATTCCCAGTCAGGGCAAATGCCCTGGATGCAGGCTTGATCTCATTGCCGTTTCTAGTTCTTTCTCCCTCTCCCTTCCTCTCTCTCTAAACCAATTTTTTTTAAATGTTTTTTTAAAAAATTACATAAAATTAAAATCTATCAATGTCTTCCCATCACAGAAGAAATAAAGTTCAAAACCCTGCACAGGCCTCTGGGGTCCCCATGCTCTGCCCACTACCTAACCTTGACCCCCCATCCCTACCACAAACTCCAGGCTCCAGCGATACCAAGCCACCTGCCTTTCCATATCCACACAGCAAGTGGTTTCTCTCCTGCATCGTGCTCATTGTCTTCTGTTTGGAATGCTCTCCCAGACCAAGGACTTATGCATTTTAGGAGCACTTAAAGGGACAATTCAAAAGGAACACAGAGGAAGTTTTAATGTGTCAATAAGGCCCAACTAATTTTTAATAATAGGCCGATGCCTGACATCAGGCAGCAACATTAGCCAATTTCTAAAATCAATAGAAAAAAATCTCTCTTGATGTGAGAATTTTGATTTCCCCAGTAAACAGATTTAATAAGTCCATTGAGGGAAGTCTGATCGTGAAATTAAAGGTGCCTGCGCACATCACTCAAGTGTTTTCCGGTTTCTTTCGAACACTCCCTGCGCTCCTCCCACTCATCCGTGTTGCCATCTGATAGACCAGCACCGGGTGAACTGGAGCAGCTGGGACCAGCTGCTCCTCAAGTCAGTAAAAATCCTCTGCTTTTCCTGGGGTGCAAATCTGTACCAGGGAAGTAAGGCCACCCCACTGGTGACTCCCTGACGTGAACCAGTGACTGTGATCAGAGATGGTGGAGCGGCAGGAATCCAAACAACCAAGAATTCCCAGGCAGTAATTTGTCAGTAATGGGTTTCTCCATCCTTGAGAGAGCATCAGGGACGAGCAAGTGTGCAGCTGCCCTTTGGAGGGAGGTGGAAAAAAGAAAGAGACAAGCAAACAAAGAATCCATTTCTTTTTTTTTCTTTTTTTAAATATATCTTTATTGATTTTCAGAGAGAGAGAGTGAGAGGAAGAGACAGAGATAGAAACACCAGTGATGAGAGAGTCATTGATCGGCTGCATCCCACAACCCGGGCATGTGCCCTGACCGGGAATTGAACCCCGATCTCCTGGATCCTAGGTCGGCGCTCAACCGCTGAGCCATGCCCGGCCCGGTGAGAATCCATTTCTAAGTGAAAGGCCCTGGCAGGGGCCTGGGGCGGGCTACAGAAATCTACCCACCTGCCTGGGTCAGGCCCTGCAATGGTAGCGTATTTTTCTACAGTTCTTGTATTCAAAGAAGAGAACCAGTGTCAGGGAGAGATCCACTCATTCCTGTCTGGACCCCCAAAGCGCCACAGTTCCAGTAACCAGGAGAGCCCATAGTGGGTGGCTTTCTTTCTTCCACTGAGTGGAAATGTTTTACATTAAGGGTTATATAATCCACCCTGGCCAGCATAGCTCAGCGGTTGAGCATCAACCTATGATCCAGGAGATTACGATTTGATTCCCAGTCAGGGCACATGACCAGGTTGCCGGCTCGATCCCCAGTAGGGGCCCTGAAGGAGGCAGCCGATCAATGATTCTCTCATCATTGATGTTTCTATCTTCTTCTCTCCTTCCCTCTCCCTTCCTCTCTCTGAAATCAATATAAGACAGTTTAAAAAAAAAAAAAGTTATATAATCTCCAGCCAGGCAGAGGGGCCTGTGCCAACTAATCCCTTACAACTACCAATGCAGCAATTGTCATTCGCCTCCTCTCTTGGCCACAGCACTGGGCACTCACCATGTCCCTTCTCTCACTGATTACTTTCTCGGTCCCATCTGCTGCAAACCATGAATAGACACCTTCAGAAATATCTCAAATCCATGCCCTTCTCAAATGCAAGGTCATCCTTGGCCACTACTATCCTTTTATTTCTGCCTTCCCACCTTGGGCATGTTCCTTTATGGCCCTTCCCACAGTTCCTAATTCTTCTGTTTGTTGCATATTTATTCATCTGTAGTCTGCTTTGCAAGCTGGAGGGAAGAAAAGGAGATGTGTTTCTCTAACTATTTTATTCCCAGCTACTAGCATGATGCCTGGCACATACATAGTAAATGCTCAATAGGTAGTTATGGCATGGATGGATGGATGGATGGATGGATGGATGGATGGATGGATGGATGGATGGATGACAGGGTGCAGGGGTGCGTGGAGGGATGGGTGGGTGGATGGGTGGATGGGTGGATGGATAGATGGATGGATGGATGGATGGATGGATGGATGGATGGATGGATGGATGGATGGATAGGGGCAATGGCTTGGGTGTTCCTGGCTGCCCACCTGCTAGTGCCTGCAGCTTGGTCACCCACCACAGGNTTAAGTTAATTCTATTGCCTGTCTTCTCAGATCACAAGTGCTCACTGCTGGCCACATGGACCACACAGGGGAAGCCCTGGCCCAGAAGCTGCTTAGATTGGCTGGCTTGAAGCAAGCTTTAGAGCCCATCAGGTCTGGCAGGCCATGCTCTTGCCCAATAGACACTTAACCCAATTCTATAACCCAAGGGAACTGTCTCTAATTCTGGCCACAGGAATAAGATTTTCTGCCATTCACTTCTCCACGCTGAGCCCTGAGCTCTATCTGAAGTCTGAATGAGCCTCTTCCCTTTGACCTACAGTTGCAAAAAAAACAGTGTGCAGGACCTGCCTGACCTGATAAGAGGCTTGTGAACAGCTTACGCACGTCT